AGTGCTACTGTTCTGGCTCTGAACTGTCTGGAATGTGTTACATGGAGAAGCGTTGGAGTGCACAGGTGACCACATCTGCATGTTTTGTGCTGGATGTTTTATGCAAAGTCAGTCTCACTTGTTCCTGGTGCAGCTGTACACCCAGTAGACCCTCTCTATTTCCTCTCCTTCACCATCCAATCTTTCCTGGTAGCAGGAATCACAGAATAGTTTGGCTGGAAAAGACCATTATGCTCATCTAGTCCAACCATAAACCCAGCATTGCCAAGTTCACCACTAAAGCATGTCCCCAAGTGCCACATCTACACATCCTCTAAATACCTCCAGGGATGGTGACTCCACCACCTCCCTGAGCAGCGTGTTCCAATACTTGACAACCCTTTCAGTGAAGAATTTTTTCCTGACATCCAACCTCAACCTGCCCTGGCGCAAGCAGGAGCAGAAGAGCAGGCAGTTACCAAGCCAGGCATTGTTTCTGGACAGATGGACTTGGTGTACAGGGTGCAGGAAGTGCTGGCCAGCCTCTGCTGCAGAGGGGAGCGCTGGTCAGAGCGCAGCTTTTGTGGGCTCCATCACAGCAGATCACGGGCTGCTCTCCCGCTTGCACCCGCTGGTCAGCCCCTGTGTGGCTGCAGAGCCTGTCCAGGAGCCGCGATAAGTGTTCTTTGGGGTTTTTTTATCTTCTTCTTTTCCTCTGCCTGTGAAACATCTGTAGGTAATTAAATCCACATTTCAGCCTGTCTCTTGAGGGGCAAACAGACACATATGGAATCACACATGTGCTACATACAGACGGCTGCAGCTCCTGCAACAGCTGCTAGACCCAGCGTGTGCCGTTCCCTCTGACTTGCACGCCACCTGCAAGCCTCTCCCCACCACACGTGGAGAAGCCCCAGGGACCCTCTCAAGGCTGTGGGTACCATGCACCTCTCCCTTCTTTTCCCCCTTTGACTGAGATCCCACGCTGGCTCCTCGATAGCCTTCAAAGTCTGTGCTGGCCCCACTTTCTGGATGCTCAAACTTACGTTCTCCTCAAGTAGATTCAACCAAGCTGTTGGCAGCTTTTGCACCCAGCTGAGGAACTTTGGTCTGTTCCCTACCCCTCTCCCAGGCCACTGTCCTCTCCTGCCCCCTCCTGCCCTCTCTGAGCTGTGTGCCCATGTCGCCATCAACCACAAATAATGAGTTTGGTCTTACTAATTTTCTAACCCAGCATCTTATTGAGAAGTACACCAAGCACAGGTACGTTCACACTTTGCTGATGCTCTATTTAAACTGTGTTTTTACTAAAGCTGGAATCACCTTGGTAGAGATTTACCTGTGTGAAGTCTCCTTGGTTCTCAACACTCCACCTTGAAACTGAGATGATACTGTAGCACCTAAGAACCAGAGACTTTTTCTTCTGGTTTTGTCTTCTCTGAATCCTTTTAACATTGCTGAGTTTATCCTGTCTCTTGCTGTACTAAGGACCATGTGTCCTCAGGAGCGCTTTATACGTATGAAGGCCAGGGCTGGATTAACTGTTGTCACCTACTTTATTTAGCTGTCTGTGCCCCTGCAAAGCAGCTGGGTAGGTCCTGTCCTACTGTACTCAAGGAAATGTTGACACAGGCCGGTATTCCAGGGCTGTGTGGGAACTGCTGGGCAGGAAAAGGCTGAAGAAGGGACTGAAATCATGTGAATTGTGCTGGTTTTAGACTTGGGAAGTATGTGATTGATAGCGCTTGTAAACACGTTTCTGTTGCAACTGGTTTATAAGGTGAGATGACCTGATAGGCACGAGCACATCCCAGGGAAGTCAGAGAAAACTGCATGTGCAAGAGGAAGCCACTAGACAGGGAAGCATCTCCAGAAATGTCTGGCAGCATTTTGCAGTCCTCACTTACACAGCCAAAATTCAAATCTGGGATGTTATCCTTTTAACTTTATCAACTGACCAAAATGTGACCAGTTCCCAGACTCACAGGACACAATAAAAGCCTGAGGAGAAAGAAGTTACGTGATACCTCATGGTTTGTCTTAGTGACTTGAAGATGCAGTGACAGGATGACAGCACTGCCCAGTTCACCACTCATGAAAAGAAAAGAGGGTCCTTTTTTTGGAAGTCTTCTGCAAAGACCTCAATGGGGAGAAAATGGTAATTCAGTGAAGGAGTGTATCTGTGCTTAACATATGTGGTTTTTCAAGGGAAGAAGAAACAGCAGCTGAAGGAACATTCCTGGCATGGATGAGTTGTTCACAAGCACTCACTGCTTGTCCTTTACCAGCAATGTGAAAGATCATTAAAGACATGGACCTGTTCGAATGAGTCCAGAGGAGGCCACGAGGATGATCTGAGGGCTGGAGCAGCTCTGCTGTGAGGACAGGCTTAGAGAATTGGGGCTGTTCAGCCTGGAGAAGAGAAGGCTCCGGGGAGATCTTATAGCGGCCTCCCAGTACCTGAAGGGGCTACAAGAAAGCTGGGGAGGGACTTTTGATAAGGGCAGTTGATGATAGAACAAGGGGTGATGGCTTTAAACTAGAAGAGGGGAGGTTTAGATGAGATATTAGGAAGAAATTCTTCACTGTGAGGGTGGTCAGACACTGGAACAGGTCGCCCAGAGAAGCTGTGGCTGCTCCTCCCTGGAAGTGTTCAAGGCCAGGCTGGATGAGGCTTTGAGCAACCTGGTCTAGGGGAAGGTGTCCCTGCTGATGGCAGGGGGGTTGGAACTGGATGATCTTTAAGGTCCCTTCCAACCCAAACCATTCTGTGATTCTACAACCATGGGGCTGATCTAGTCTTGTTGCTAGTAAGGGAGCATTACCCTGCAGGTAAATTAATTCTTTAACTGATTTTTCTCCCATGGGGAGATGCAGCTGCTCAGCTGAAGTGAGAGCCTCCACTGAACAGGGAAAGCATAATTTTCTCTAGTCTATTACACACCTGAAACATGCACCTGCCTTAATTAGTGGGAAAGTCAGTTGTTTCAATTAGTTTTCATTCCATCACTCAAGTCTTGAGGCAGGTAATTCTGGTAAGTACAGTGATGTGCTAGTGCTGAGGCAGCTGGTAACTAGAGGAATGAGAAGGGCAGCTGCACGTTACCCCTGCACACAGCACACTCTGCACAAGGCAGAGGAGAAATAACTGTCTCCCTTACTGTAGCAGTTTGTCCTTCCACTGTTACTTCTTGGAAACAGCAATGCCAAGTTACACTTGGAACAAAAATCCTTCGCCTCGCCAAGGGAGAATTATATTTCTGTGCCTGCCCTGTACAGTCAGGAGGGCTGGCTGGGATCTGCTGTCAGCACTAGCACTCCAGATTCCACCAGAGCTGGAAGCTGGGCAGAGAAAGTCACTGAACCCCCTTTTCTCAAAGGGGAAGGGTCAATTAGTGTCTTCCAGTAGATCAAGCAGTGGGGTATTAAAAAAAAAAAACCCAAAACCAAACAAGAAAGCAAACAAATAAAAACCCCAGAGGAACTACAGCAGCATTACCAGCTGAGGTTTTGGTTTGTTTTTAAGAAAACAAACAAACAAAAATTTCCACATTAAAAAAAGAAGGATCAATTTGAACTTTAAGTCAATAATGAAAATGACCAACACCAAAGTACAGAGACTAACTTTGTCAGTTTGTTTTATTACTGGGCACAGCACAGTACCACTCTGTATACAGACAAGCCACAGTAATACAAACAGTCCCTATTCTTTTTTAGAATAAAAACCCACATGATATTTGGGAGGAGTCAAGTGTCCCAGGTGCCAGCTCTCAAGAGCTATTTTGCTGCAGTTGCAGCAGTGTTCTTGCCAAAATACTATGAGGTTTTTCATGCTGTTGTCAAGAGGTGAAGCTGAAGAACCTGAGCTTGCAGCAGCGCCTCTGCTTAACACGATCAAGGCAGGCTTTTCAGTAGCTCAAAGGCTTGCAAATATGCTCAGTCATGGTCCTCTGCAGTCAAATCAAGATGCACCAGACAGACACCCAGGCATGGAAGTAGAACTCTCAAATGCTTCTACAGAACCCCACCTTATCCTGAAGCACAAGAGGTGTATCCAGGACAGGGCTAGTTAAAATGCTGCTGCATCCAGAGAGCTTTCCTGCAGGCAGCACAGGCTTCCCACAAAGGCAGGGACCTTTCTTACGGAGTCAGTTAAGTCTGGAGCAGCACAAGGTCAGGGAAGCTTGGAGAAAAGCTTCTGTCATTAAAGCAGGCTTAGCTCCTCAGAAAACTGATTTAAAACCAGAAGGCACAAATGCAAGGTTGAATGTGGGCTACAGTGGTGGCTACATACCACTGTGGCATGCAAGCAGTTTAGGTACCCCTCCCTCCTAGGGGGAAATACAACACACAATAAATACAACACGACATTTTAGAAAATAAGTGCATTACTGTGATCCTCCACAACACAAGGAAGTAGGATCCACAAGAGCCTGCAGAGGCTGGTTCACTTAATATTGCACAGAAGTCCTGAAATTTAGTGTCAGGTCACTACACTGGAGGTGGGACATGGCAGGGGAGGAGAAAAAAAAATAAAAAGTCTTATTTGGCAGAACCTGCCCAAGTCTCCACCACCACACAAACGGCTTTTTGCCAATCTGAGGTAGAATTACATATATACTGCTTAAACCCAGTCAAGTCCCGCTCAACTAGTCTTTAAAGACAGAGAAAAAAAAGAAAAAGAGTGCACAGAACAGATGAGGCTCTTCTCTAAAATGAGCACTTCAGGTTTGACCCCTGGAAGGAAGTCTTGGAGAGCAAAGTTCCAGCAAAGATCCCTGCTCTCCACCTGGAAAGCAGTGATGGCTATTGTGGTGCTACAGGCAAGGAGTGTAACAGGTACTAATTGCGAGTCCTACAGCAAGCAGGTTTCACTCCACTTCCTCCCTCCCCTACTACTTGCTAACTGTCCCTTTATTCACTCAGTCCAGTATATTTTATGAGAGTTAATATTGTCCCCATTGCTTTCTCCCTCATGTCCCTTCTCTGGGACCCTGCAAAAAATGTTTCTATTTCAATCCTTAGATTTCTGAGGGACACTTTGCAGTTTCTTCTAGGGACTCCTCTGTGCAGTATAGGCATGGAAGGATGGAAATCAGAGCCTCTTCGATGGAGAAGAGATGTTTATCCTCTGCTTGAGGACAGAAGTAGCGCATAAAGTCTGCCAGTCTCAACAAGTACTCAATGTTGTGACCAGCACAACCACTTGAGACAATGATTTGAGCTGCAATGTCTTCTTCAGATGCTGGGCCAAGGTAAGAAGGGTTTTGGGGTGTTGCAATGTAAACAAGAGCCAGGATAGGTTCCTCTGCATCTTTCTCTTGAGGGTGGAACTTCACCAACTTGGTATCGTAGCCTCCCAGGACAGCTTCTCGCATATTGAGATACTGGAGCGATGCAGCAATTTGTTCCCCACGGACTTCATAGGCTACACCCCACGTGCACGCCTAAAAGCAAAAGAGCAAGGTGGTTATGGGATGCTGCAGTGGGCAGGTCCACTAACATTTCAAAACAAGCCTGCCTTGCTTTGGGGGGGGTCTCTGCACAAGCGATGACAGGGCAGAGGAGGGTAATAGCCCCTGCACAGAGTGCTGGGAGGGCAGAAGAGGGTGATACCCCTCACACACACACACACAGTGTCAGGGGGGCAGAGGAGGGTGACATCCCCTCACACACACACACAGTGTCAGGAGGGCAGAGGAGGGTGATACCCCTGCACACACACACACACAGTGTCAGGGGGGCAGAGGAGGGTGACATCCCCTCACACACACACACAGTGTCAGGAGGGCAGAGGAGGGTGACATCCCCTCACACACACACACACACAGTGTCAGGAGGGCAGGGGAACACTCAGCTGCTGATGTGGGCACCACCACCCCGGCCGGCCCCGGTACTCACCCCGCAGTCCTCCAGCAGTGTCACCACCCGGCCGGGCTGTGAGGGAGAGGCAAGGGGACAGCTGTTAGAACGGAGCCCGCACCAAGAGCC